CCCTGATAGGGATGGATTTAGTCTCATGCCTAAGTGATTTCCTGACTTGGAGCTGTAGGATATAATTGTTTGATTCTGCTACTCTCTGGATCCAGTGAAAGATCTCCCATTTGAATCCCATTTGGGATCTTTACTGCATTTGGGGATTCTGAGCCTTTGGCAATTTGGGGGAGTTGAGTCTTTGGGCTCATCCTCCAGCTGCATCTGTGTGAACCCTAAAAAAGCCTAAACCTGCTGCTACTGAAATTACCTGCACGAATCTCGCCAGCTTCACCAGGAACAACCCGGCGTGGGACATTTTGGCACTCAGTGTTATCCCCAGCCTGCCCTCTGACACTGCCCCTTCCCTGGCAATCTTCCAAAGGAAGGAAACAAAGGTGGCTACAGGCATCTCTTCCCTCTTCCTTCCCCTTTTGGTACTCCCTGGGGGTCAAACCAGGAATGATTTGGCTTGTAAGTGTTCTTGCTACAATTCTGTAATGAAAAAAGGCTCCTGAAGACAGAGTGGAAGTTATTTTTGTTTATTTAAAGTCCCTGTGTAAATCAATCTTCGAGTAAGTGAGAGTCGAGCATCTGCAGTAAAATTCAACCTTGTGCACAGGACAAAATCCTCCATTAAGTCCTACAAATAGATCCCAAAGCTTGAGTATTTTCAGCTCCTTTAAAGGAAGGGGAAACAAAAAAAGGAACAACTTGGTTTTGGCTTATTTTTGCTTATTTTTGTTTCTCCTTGAATGAGAAACCTGCTTAAAACACTTAGGTTTTTATTTACATGGGTTCTAAAGGGTAAAACACAGGTTTTAGGCTTTAACTACTTGCCTACTAGGAAAAAAATTGAACTTTTTCTTGGTTTTGATGGTATGTTTGAACTCTGTCCTGCAGTTCCTGTGTAGGAAAATGGGTGTTTTTCACAGTGCAGCTGGAAGAGCTCTGTCACAAAAGGAACAAGGGAATTGTGTGCTTTGCCTGCTCTTTCCCAGGAGTTCCTAGCTGAGACTCAGTGTGCAGTGCTGCATGCCAGTAGGGAAGGGAAATCTTATCTCAGGAGCAGTAAATATGGAATCTAATTTCTATAGAAGAAGCACAGAAAATCTGCACAATGGAAGGTTTTGCACCTGAAATGTGCTAATGCTGACTGCATGCTGGGGTTGTGATGGGCTGTGCGATGGACTTTTGTGCAAGGTACTCCTAAGTAAAAAAATAAGTGCACACCTAAAACTAGTTTTTCTAAGTGTCCTCTAACAGTAGGAGTTTCTCCTGATAGGAATTCCAGAAATGAAAATATAAACAAGAACTCTGTCTCTCATGAGATGTACAGCAGAAAAGGATTTTTCACTGGCAAAAGGAACATACAGATAAAGTCAAGCTGTCCAGAAGAGCTTGAAATGCATGTACTGCTTTGCCCAAGAATGTGAAGGAGCTGGACTATAGGGATGTCTTTTTCTCCAGCTTTATTTCTATTTATTTCAACTGTTTCTAGGGTGTCTATTAGGAGGTATCAGCCTTTTTTCTGAGTGGTTTCTCTACTGTGTCTCTCTGGACGCCCAACTCTGAAAGCTTTTTAGCACATTTTGCCCTCCAGTTTTGGGTTCCCCTGAAAGGCAGGGTTAGAGGGCCCTGAATTCTGGCATAGAGTTGTATCCTGGCTGCAGAGTCCTCCTCTCTCCTCCTCTCTCCTCCTCTCTCCTCCTCTCTTCTCCTCTCTTCTCCTCTCTTCTCCTCTCTTCTCCTCTCTTCTCCTCTCTTCTCCTCTCTTCTCCTCTCTTCTCCTCTCTTCTCCTCTCTTCNTCTTCTCCTCTCTTCTCCTCTCTTCTCCTCTCTTCTCCTCTCTTCTCCTCTCTTCTCCTCTCTTCTCCTCTCTTCTCCTCTCTTCTCCTCTCTTCATGTTCTACTCCAGTCTGTAATATGTCCCTGAATTCTCTAAAGCAATTTTTTTCCCCCTTAGCTCAGGACTCAGTCTGAGCATTTGCCTTAATACTGTCAATGGCAACCTAAACCAAAGCCAGTGAAGAGGTCAGAGAAGGAGCTTGATTACAAATACCAGTTAAGCACATAGTCCAATATTTCCCAGTCTCACTCTCGGAGAGTGAATTGGTTTCCATGTAATACTGAAGTGGGAAAAGAAATGGAACCATGAAATGCAAAATCTTGAAGGGTCCTCAAAGTGGTTGTGAAGAGGCCAGCTCAGAAGGGCTCAGCACACAGTACACATAGCAATAATTAACTCCTAGATAAAAACCTTACTCCTTGATAGTTTGGGGTAAAATGCAGTGCAGGGGTGTTGTGATTATTCCCACTGCTGTTTTGAGCTCTAACAGCTCCCCTGAATGGGTGCACCCTGAGCGTGTCCATGTAACATCAGCTGCTGGAAAGCAGCAGTGTGCAAAGCACTGCTGCTGCTTTCACTGTGATCTATTTAATGCTTGTTTTCCATGGATTCCCCCTCACACTCTTTATCTCTTACTGCCAGCACCCCTAGGATGGCTTGGGTGGATTCCTGGTGCATGACAGCTGGCCTGGCTGCTGGCCTGTGGTGCAGGGCTCTGTCTGCACTTCTCCTCAGACCTACAATTTATGTTTGTGTGCTCATATTATTCACTTGAGTAATGGTCTGATTTACTTGTGTGTGTGGTATTACTCACTTGTTTTCCCTAAAGAGAAACAAATACAGCTCTTTGGAGAAAGGAAGAGGAATCATTTGCTATAACTGGAGTTTAAGGTGTGTGACAGATACCCAGTTTTGAACTTAAAATGAGTGGCAAAGCTATTCTGCAGATGTCTTCGCAAACTGAACTCCAGTTCACATTTTAAAAGGCTCTTCATGTCTCTGAATGAGGCACAGGTAGAAGAATAGAGACATGGCAATTTTTCTGGGACAGCTCTAGGATATAAACCGTTTGGAAGAAAATATTTGACTTTAGTTAAATCCTGGGAATGAGCTACACTTCTAAATGCTGTCATGAGAGCAGAGGGAGGACTATCATGAGGTGATAGTGCACTGGTGTTTGATAGAGGCTCAGGTTAAAAGTTTAAATTTGAACCATTCCAAACGTTTTTGTGTTTGGTGGAATTTGACTTTAAACCTTTTTACTTCAGTCCCATCTCAGCTGTGCTGCTTCTGGCTTCTTTTTGCCTCTGATTGGCCTGCTGGGTTTTGGTGCCAGTGAGGGTAGTATGGCTGAAAACCTCTAGACCTTAGAGTAAAACAGCTCAGATCCTCACACCACCTCCTCAGCCCATCTGCAGAGCAAGTATATGTGCCTGAGTGGCTGTGGAAAGTACACTGTAAAGGAAAAATGTCTGAGAATTATACACTTTAGCCAGAAATCTGGGTAAAATGGAAAAAAGACCCTTAAAGCAAAACCTCATCCTAATTCCAGATGGATTTTTTCAAAGTGGCATAAAGCTTCTTCTAGAAACTTGAAAAACAACCTGGTTTTCGGACCACTGTGCACTTTGCAGATCTTGTTTTAATCAGCATTTCAGTAAAACACAATTCTACATGAGTTTAAAAGCATGGAGCAGCTGTTAAATTGTCTAGAATAGAATCTGTGATTACCCAGAGTGTTTCTCTTCACTGCCTTTCTAGACAAAATGGCGGGGGGAGCTTTTTCCTTCAGTGAAATAGCAGGTTCCAAAAAATATGTCTGGTTCCTATTACAGCAAAGGAAAAACTTGAGGTGTGCATTGGAAGTGCTAAGCCAGTGATTGAAATGTTAAAGTTGTTCCTAAAGGCCATTCCACATCATGAAGACATCATCTGTAAAGTAATACTGCACAATGATCTGTGAGGAGAGGAGCCTGAATTAGCATTCAGTCCTGCTGGAGCTTCCAAATGTCCCACATTCGGGTCAGCTCCTGCAGCAGAACCTCCTTGAGGAGCCTTCAGTGAGCACTGACTGATCAATTTAGTGAAAAAAAGGGTTCAGGTGAAAGATTTTATTCATCTGTGACCTGTCCCACCCCTGCACCTTTGTGCACGCCTGTGGCTGCTCAATGTGCCACATGTGCCAACTTACCCAGTGGCTTCCCCAGGATTTTGGAACTTGGAAAGAGAATTTCTGCTGCAGCAGCTCAACTAGAGCACATCAATGAGGTGTCTGATTTGCCAACTTGCAAAATCTCTTTTTAAAGGCAAGTGTTTGGGGAAAAATAAAACAGTTGAAGTCTTCCCACTGGTAGTGTGCCAGTGGAAAAATAATTTCATTAAAAATAAGCATTCAAAGTAATTTATTGATTAAAATTGAAAATGGCAAGTTATCTGCAAAGGCTGAGGCTCTCAGAGTTCAAGCACTATAGCAGCAATGATGATCGACCTTTAGCTTCTGTACCACAGTAACTGAGATTGCTTAACAAGAGAACCCCTCTTTTCATTACTGATAGCTCTTTCTGTTCCCTTCCCTTCACCCTCTGGCATTACAAGCTGTACAGATCACATCCGCAACTTGGAGAAGCTGTCACAAGTGTTTTGGCATAAATTGGCCACATGTATTTTCTAATCTGTTTTTTCCTTCAAGACAAATACTGTTACCCCGATTTTTTTTTCCTAATTTTTGATTAAAAATTCAATTCTCCTTCCTTCCTTCTGTCCTTCCTTCCTGGTGGGAGGCAGGCTGAAGGAGAAGGTGTTATTCAGACCTTTCCATCAGCCGGTCCTGACTGGGTTTAGTGGTGTCACATCTTTGAGTGAGATGGGTGAGCACATTGATTTTGTAGGACTGGTAGCAGTCTGTAAAACTGTCTTTGAGCTAGGCTTGCAGTATTTAACTTTTGAACTTTATTTTTAGTGGGTTGCTGAATTATTAATAGGGGTCACAACTGAGAGGTTTTCTTGTGAGTGTGAAAACTGCTTGTTTTACTGAAATGTTGTTACTTAGGTTTTCACACTCTGTGAAATGACAAAGGAACTCAGGATTCTTGCATGCTATGGCAGCAGTTTGCAACATAAACTTTATGGCTTATCTCTCACAATAAATGTTTTAATTATTTTTATTTTAAAGGCATTCCCAAACCAAATGTAACATGGCTGAAGAAGAAGGATATTTTGCAAATCAATTCTTCCTTGGTTTTGAATGGCTCTTTATTTCTGAGGAATGTTTCCTATGGAGATGCAGGAACATACACTTGCAGAGCAACTAATGCTCTTGGAAAAGCTGAGGCTGCATCTGTTCTCCACATAACTGGTGAGTGCTAAATGAGAATTCCCTACTGATAACAAAAACCAGCCAATTTATAATCAATGTTTAACCATAAAATAGTTAGGGGCATATTTAACGCTCTATTGGAAATCTGAAATTTTTGATTGCATCTGACTCTCTTGGATCTGTTCCCTATTTTGAGTTTCCTGTAATGTGGATCTAGGTACAGATGGTTTGCCTTGGGACTTCAAGGTTGTTCCATCTTCTTGCTTCCAGGTGACAAATATTCAACCCTTAAACCACCTGACACATTAAGGAAGAAAATCCACTGTCATGTTACAGTGAGCCCAGTGCTTTTAACTAGAGACACAGGGCAGGCTTGAGTATTTAGAAAATCTTCAGGAAAATGCAGGAAAATGAAAGCAAAGGCTGGTTTGGGGTTTTGATGTTAATTTTTTTTAAAATATAGAGGCTAATAAAATGTAGAGGAGTGGAAAAGAAAAAATTCTGATTATGAGCCCCGAACTCCCGGAATAGAAAATGTAAAGAAAAAACTCCATGTAAATCCCTCTATTGTAAGTAGATTAATTATATAATTCTGTACAATGCAATCATGCCTTGCAAATCACTGCAGTCATTGGGTAATTTAGCTCTAGAGATGAGCTGTCTCACCCCTTGGCTGTGCAAAGTGCAGCACAGCTTTCTGTGACCAGTCCTGCTCCAAAGATCCATTTCTGGATGCTCACCTTGGGCAGGCTGTGCATGGCTGGGTCTGCTGGCTGAAGAGGAGGTTCTGGAGACACAGTAGGAGCCTCTCTGTGAGGATGAGTGTGGACTGGAGCTGCCTTTCTGGTTTCAGGTTTCCTGGAGTACATCAAAACTTCGGATGTTCCAGAGAGGAATTTTATTATAATGACGTGACTGGAATATTGCTCACAAGAGTCTAAATTTTGTTTCAATTCCTGGTCATGTGACATTAGTTTAAATAAATCTGGAGTGGATAGGAGACGGCCAAATTCTTCAATTTTTTGGCTATGTAAGACTGCAATGAAATGGGAGGACTTCTGCTGTCAGGACTTAGAGATTGCAGTTGTCTGAAAGATCCCATCAGATTTTTGGCTTGGCTACAGGACTTGCTTGCCTGGTCAGGGGTAGTCCAGCAGTAGCACAAATTCTGTATTTCCAATAAAACTCCCTAAGGGCTGACAAGGCAACCAGTCCTTTGCCTGTGGAACTGGCCTCACTGTGGTTTTGTGGAGACTTTTTTTTGTCCTGGTGTTTACAGAGAGGCAGAAGGCTTTGTACCAAAATCGCACACTGAGGAAAAATCTTGAGCCATTGTAAAATGACCCAGAGAAGTTAGAATATAGCAAAAGATTTAAACCCTTCTGGAAGGAGAGACATAGATGTTATGTACATTCATTGAAACAGAAATGTTGACAAAGTGGTAAGAACTGTGTGTTACTGACAGATTGCCCACATTTTTGGCAGTTATTCTGCCAGCATATGAGAGAAAGGATGAGTTGCTATAGTGATGGGCATTTGACTCTGTATTCATTATGCTATTTCTATGCATAATGAGATTTTAAAAGATGTTCTTTTTCTCTATTATAACACTTTGTCATAATTCCACCTAATGGAACAGAGGAATTGGCCAGATTCCACTGAGAGAATTATTTTTCTTACAATTTCTGCATGCAATGAAATAATAAATAATGTTGTCATGAAAAATGGGAAATACATCCTCTAAGTTTTGTTTTTACACTGTTACAGGTTTGTTTTTCTAATACATTCAATAAATGTATTGATTTCTTGAATTATTCAGAAAGTTGCATAAACATAAATAATTTCTGTTTCCCTGTACACATGTAGCTTATTTCTTAAATGGATAATTTAACTGTATAAATGAAGTTGATCCTAAAGAATTCCAAACTGCTATTATCTTTCTGCTTCATAACTAGCATGCTGGGTATTTTGATATGAAATGTTTTTTGGCATCATGATTTAATTCATGCTCAGAAGAGACCTTATGCACTGTGTTCCAGAACAAAGACTTACAGAGAATAACACTCAGTTATTGAAAGGAAGCAGAAGAAAGCGTGTCCTGATGGCATCTGGGACTGGTACAAATGTCAGCGTGGCACCTGGCGATCCACTAAGGATAGGTGTGTTGTCTTTTCTGCTTTTTTATTAATATTATTTATTTATTTTATTAAAATAGAGGGAGCCCCATGGAAAAAAGTGGGTGCAGTTGTGAAGTGAATCATCCTGTCACTAAAGCCATGCAATTACTCTTTGAGCTTCACTTGAAAAAATGGAAGGGATTCAGCTGGGCTTTGTTTGTGTTTTTTCCTGCCTAAATGAATGCCTTTGTTTCCATCCCTGCTCGTGCCCTGTGCAGTGAAAATGCAGCAATTTCATTTAATGTGTTTGTGGCTCCTTTCCCAAACAGATAGAAAGTCTTTAATTGCATACCTATTTGCATATGGTAGAGTCTGGGATGAAATCTTTGTTCCATTTAAATCATTGCTCCCCCCTTCCACTTTGTTCCTATAGAAGTTAAGTTTATAAGAATTTATTGAAAGGGAAAGGATGGAGAAGTGTGGTAAGTACACATCAGCTTACAGAGCTCATACCTCTCAAGGGCCAGTCAGGATTTTGGGCCCTAGCTTGGATCTCAGTGGATTTATGCATATTCTTGTTTTTATTTAGGATGGTAATGTCCTTTATGTAGAATTACACTTGTACATACTTGTTCACAAAGTTTTGATGTGTTGAGAAAAACCTGCTAAAATGCTGTTGATTTTTAGGTTGCCCAGTGCTGCCCAGTCACAGGAATGCAGTCCAGTGGCTCTTTGGAGACAGCCCAGTTGAGGAAGTTCAGACCCTGGAATACAGAACCCTGGTTGGGGGTCGTATCCTAGAGGTGAACACCAACTCTGGTCAATTTGCTGGACAATTCCAATGTCGGACTTCAGCTAGTGCAAAACTAATGTCAGTTTGGGTAAATGTCAAGAAGGAAGGTTTGTTGAAAATTATATGACAAATTCTTGAATTTTAAAATATCTTCTTTTGCTCTGTAAAGACTTTCCTGATAACTAACCTTCTTTTCTGTGTTGAAAGTAATTCAGAAAAACATAGCTTCACATATGGGAATGGTCTTATTTAATCCAGTAGACAATGCCCATACTCTCACACTTGGATATGGTAATTAATGTGTATCCAAATATCCTGTGGGGGTTCTTACTGCTTGTCTGTGTATCTGAGAAGCTGAGAGAATGTGTCTTTCTGCTTAAAGAGTTTTAAATCAGACAGGTTTTATCAACTTCCCCTTCAACAAACTTCTCCATGGTAGCCCTCCAAACTGAAACAAAACTGACTTCAAAGTTATCTTTGGAAATATCTTCATCATAATAAAAATAATTTTAATGTAATTGTCATATTCCATGACCATCACAATTAATATGGTAGTGATCTTACAGCAGACACCCTTAATCACATCAATATACTAGAGCACACTGCACACTCATAGATTTCCATGTGAAATTCTCAAGAATGTCTTGTAAGGTTCCCCAGCATAATGCACTCACATAAACCCACATTTATATCAGTGGGTTATAAAAATGTGCAACTGAATTTCAAAATTGATGAATTTTAAAAGAGCCTTGCACCAGCAAGACAATCAGCTGTATCTGCAAACATTTTGTCAAGTTTTAAACATTTTAAGTGTTTAGAAAAGAATTATGCCCTCATTTTCTATAATTCCTAATTATAACCTAATTATAATTAGGAATTCAGATTTAAAAACAAGCATCTGTTGGCACTGTAAGCTTTTCTATGTGTTTTATCTCTTCACATATCAGTTTGATTTGGCTTATGACTGATCTGCAAGGGACTCAAGCAGTAGGATCAGTTCCCCTGTGCACTGTATGAGGATGTTCTCAGGGACTGTTCATGGATGAGGAGGGCTCTGGAGTGCCTGAGGCTATGAAGGAAGTTGCATTTGCAAAGGAATCTTACTGAGACACATCTATGATCAAAGCATTTACTTTAAAAATCAGATGTAAATCAAAAAATACCCTAATAGAATTTTTCAAAAACTAGGTCCAGCCTTAGATCCTAATCTAGATCTACTTACAGTTAGAATTTCTGCCAGTTATTGAACTGTCCACCTGCAGTCTTCAGCTGGACTGCCTTTTGGTTGCCCTCTCCAGTCAGGTTGGGCAGTATTTTAGGGTGATTCCATTTTCTAGTTCTGAACTTTAACTGTGATTGACACCTCAGTAAATGTTTCATCACTGCCATACCCATGCATTTGTGAGGCTGTAACACCCCTCTTGGTGTTTTTTGCACAGTAGGCATTTTGAGGGCACTTCTGAGCAGTGTCATCCTAGTTAAATAAACAATACAGTCTCTCCATCATAGCTGCAGTCAGTAAATTTAACTGTTTCTACTTTGAAAAAGGCCCTTTTGTATTATTTTAAGAAATCCAGAAGTAATAAGGAAACATTGAAAAACAATAAGTTAAAGAATTCATTATGTGCTGCAAGAGTGAGTCTGTGGACACAGCTGGTAGCTATCAATTATTCTTGGTTATTATAGAAAAACCTGACTCCTTCTGTGATCACATAAAAATCTGTCAACATTGCATAGTACTTCATCTTTTACCAAGTGTCAAAAAAAATTGTGGAGGAAGGAGTAAGTGTGGAATTTTGACTAAATATAAAGGTAGTAATTGTTAGAGGTGATCGGTTTTTAATATAAAACGCTCTTTAGAACAAATTCCTTTTTCATCTTGCCAGATGCCTCAGTGGCAAATTATTTTTACATTAAATACTTCTCTGTAGTTTAGTACAGGACTTTCTTAAATCCTAAAATTATGTGAGGTGTCTGGAGTAAGATGAGTTTTGTTCAGGACAAACTTGCTGTAGAACAGCAGGAAACCTAGAGAGCCTGATTTACAATTTCCTCTTTTTAATGCTCATTGTATAAAAATGTTATGAAAGTTTTAAAGGAAGCTCATCAGTTCCTGCTGTGAGCCAGGTTCTGCCCTTCATGTGCTGATCTCACTTGCCTTCTAGAGGGCTCCATGCTCATAGGTAAGGGCTGAACCTTGAGGGGAAGCTGAACAGAACTAAATTCTACTTTGGCCCATGGTCCCTTTTCACAGTGCTGAAATATTTGCTTTTCTACAGAGGATGTCTGTCCAGCCTACAGAGCGTGCTGCCAAATCAATCAAAACGTGACACAGTTCCAATGTGCCTCTCTCACACTGTTTCCAATTGTATTTCTTAGGTTACACCTGGGAATATGCAGAGTGGAGTCCTTGCTCTGCCACCTGTGGGCATTCAGGAACCCGCTCCAGGAGCCTGCAGTGCATGAACACAGAGAAACAGAAAGTAAATGAGTCCCAATGCAGAGAGCTGCAAAAGCCAGGGATTGTTTACCAGCCCTGCAACAGAGAGGACTGCCCTCCCAGGTAAACTCCCTTCTGCTCCGTTTCCATGAGCTCCTTGTGTACTAAAATGCACTCCCCACCCCCCGAAATTGTGTTATGCCCTGAGTGTGGAATGGGGGGTTTATTTCACCATGAACCTTAAAGCATGAGAGATAGGAAAATGGATCACAAGCAAGTAGGGAAATGCTTGATTCAGCTGAATAAAGACCTGAGTGTGGTCTCCACGCTGCTGCAGCAAGTCTTGCTGCTACCACACCTCAAAAGCCAAGCTGGAGAGCTCCCTGAGACACTGGGAGGAGCAGTTCTGTGCAATCAGTGCCACCCCAGAGGGAAAACTTGTTGTGTTTAGAGTGGCCAGGGTAACTCTGTGTTCGCCTGCTCTCCTTTGTGCCAGCAGAGCCCTCAGTAAGATGTTTTCTGAGGAATGCCTCATTTCTCCCTAATGCCCCTCACCACAGTGCTCCTTGAATGTCCTTCCCTGGCAGTTTTCTCACTGAATCAACTGGGGATCACAGGGCTGAAAATATTTTTATCACAGGCAGGTGTATCGCAATATCCAATTCCAAAGGCCAAAACCATACCTCTAGACTATTTGAGTTGCACTGAGCATTCCAGCTCAACAGGTTTTCAACAGGAAATCACATAGGATCCTCAAAATGAGTGCTTTTTGTTACTTTAAAGAATTGGCCATCACCAACAGCAAAACTCTATGAGGAATGCACACACTTTAGAGTTGTCCCTCACTGGAAAATATTGGCAAGGAAGTGTTAAGACCTTAGCTGACATTGTGAGAGTGTGTCTTGCCAGTATGTTCTAAATTCTGTTCTAAATGCAGAAAACCTAGCCACAGATATGTATCAAGAGAAGTTGTTTATATTTCATTATTAGCAGCCAAAAAACAGATTATCTTAAATTGTCATACCGAACTCCAGCCAGCCCAGAGAAAGCTAACATTTTACCAGTAGAAAAATACTGAAATCAAACTAATAATTTGAAACACAGCTTCCCTCTTTACTCCAGTGTTTGGAGCAGATGACAGGAGGGTGCAAGAGGTTCTGGGCCTCCTCTGAGCAAGGTCATGCCTTTCAGTGGATTGCAGGGCATGACTAAATAATCTGATTATCACCAGCCTTGGAGTATTAACCACATAAACAAAATGGTTCTCTCATGTGGCTAAAGAGAATGGGAACTGCATTGTCTCTTTATATGCTTAGATTTGTTCTGCTTTTAATTTGCCTTTATGCAATCACCAATGGAAGACAATTGTGTATACACTAACATAATTAACTCTGCCTCGAGCCATACGAGTATGCTAACACATTAATTGGTTTTCTTTTATGGAATATCCCATACTTTCTCTAAATGAAGAGCATCCCAGATGCCTAGAAAAGAGCCCTCTCTGTTTCTTGGTGCCTTTAGCCTCTCTCCTTCCCTATGATTGCTGACCTGGGAGGGAAGTGCAAAATGTCCATTCCATTTTCCCACTTACACTGATTTCTCATCTCAAGGCAGCTCTTTAGAAAGCATCCATAAAATTAAAAGGCTTTAAATGTATGGTCTATATACGGGACCTTAATTATTCAAAGAGTTTTGCATGTGTTTAGTCACTTCTCTCTGTCACAGTGGAGAGCTACAGTTAAACAAATATAAGGCCTTGAGCACTTGTGCTTTGCTGTGCATGCACTGCACTAAATGTTTGCAAAAGTACTTCAAATTTAAAAGGGAGAAAAAGACAAGGGTGCAGACTGTAAAAGATTAGTCTTCCTTGAATGGATTTAAGCTGTTTGAGTGTAAGAGAATTAAATAATTGCTTAAGAAAATAGATTTTTTTTTCCTGTTATCACTGTTGTGGTACACATAAAGTCCATTTTATATTTCTAGCCTAGATTTATGCAAAGAGCAAGTCCACTTGACTGTATTACCACCTGCTGCCTCCCCAGCATTGTTCCTAGCTGCCAAGACTGACTAAATATTTGCAACTTCTAATCAATAAATAACATATTCTGCTTGAGTCGTTGTCTGGTGAGATCTCAATAAATTTGGATGAGTTATGGAAGCTGTCACTTTAATACCAACTAAATTGTTACCATCCATTTTATAAGTTATGGAAAAGTATACTCTCCTTCCTCCTGGAGTGTCACATCCAGCAGGGTCTGCAGGGCTGACCTAGTAACAGATTCTGGTAACAAACATTGTAACCTCTGTTAGCAAATATGCTGTAATCACTTAACCACGTTAAGATGGCCTTGCTCAAGTGAAGAAGCTGATTCTAACTATTCTCACATCTAAAACTTGCAAGGACAAGTTCTTTTGCATTTTCTTTGCAAACAGTTTCTGCCAGCTACTAGCAGGGCTGCAATAATGGCTGTAAACGTGTCTGTGCACCCTGTAGGTGGGTGGCTGGGCCATGGTCCGAGTGCTCTGCATCCTGTGGCAGCGGATTTCGGCACCGACAGCTGTCCTGCCACCAAGCCACAGCCAACGGCAGCACCCTGGCCCTGCTGCCAGGGGCCTGCACAGCCAGGGACCGGCCTGCAGCCAGGACACCCTGCCCGGGGCAGCCCTGTCCCCTGGGGCCAGCACAGGTGAGTGGCAGCACCTTCTGCAGCCTCCTGGTACTGTGGGAGTGGGACTGTGCCACCGTCTGATGAACTGCCTGAACATCTGTCCTCCTGTGCCCGAACATCTGTCCTCCTGTGCCCGAACATCTGTCCTCCTGTGCCCGAACATCTGTCCTCCTGTGCCTGAACATCTGTCCTCCTGTGCCTGAACATCTGTTCTCTTGTGCCTGAATATCTGTCCTCTTGTGCCTGAACATCTGTTCTCTTGTGCCTGAACATCTGTCCTTTTGTGCCTGAACATCTCTTCCACAAGGCAGGAGTTCTGTGGCTGTAATTACCTTTCAATTAGAAATCTTGGTTTTTTCATTTTATGCTCTACGAGCACTTTTTTTTTGTTGAAGGCATGACCTGAAACCAGAGTATTAGCTTCAGTATATTTTACAAGCTAAGCCATTATGATGTATGCCATTTTGAAAGCTAGTTTATTGCTTTTATTGCAGTCATATTAGTACACAGTTTGCCTAGCTGTACTTGTGAAGTCCCCAGCAAAGATGTATGAATGTGCTTCAACAGCACATTGAAGTAGTTCAATTCACAGAATGCACAAAAGTCTTGTTTTCCTATATTTTCTGTTTCTTCCTTCATGCAGCAAACTTGTGTTCATCTTGGTAAGATTTGTAGTTATTGTTCAATGTGTAAAGTAATTCACTAGAATTGCTATTGCTGCATTCCCAATACAGGTTTTAGCAAGGCAAGTTTGTAATGGACAGAGCTACAGAAAGAATTCTGTAGCAGCAGGGATGTGGCACAATGAGAGAAGATAATGGATTTAACTTTAGGAACAGGCAGGAAAGTCAGTATCTTGGCAGAATTGCACAGAGAGAACCAAAAATACATAGGCCTTATCCAAACTGAGGTGTGACAGGGCTGAAAAGGCAAGATGCAAAAAATCATGGCTGGGCTGTGTAGCTGGGTAGCTCCAGGAGGATAATCCTGTTGTTGCTAACTTTGCTGTTTCTTTTTCTCTCCCCTCACCCTTTTCTCTCCACTCAGTGTTCTGGTCGCTGTGTAGGCCGCCCTGCAGGTTCACAGCACCGTGAGTTTATATGTCAGCTCCGGAATGGATCTTCCGTGCCAAACTCTTCTTGTGATGAAAGAAAGAGGTAAACAGTGGGAAGAAGTTACAAGTTAGATTCTTTAGATGATCAGATTGAAGGTACAAGATTGTCACTGCAGTACAAGTAGGCAAATTCTTTTGTGTCAAACAAAGGAAAGGAGGTAGAGATAGTCATCCCTTTGTAGACACTGAATGAATTCAGGAACCCAGGAGAGGTTATACCTGAAGAACACACAGCATCCAGGATGGAGTGTTTCAGGGTCAGTTAAGTTTTCTTGAAGATAAAATAACTTTTCTATTCCAGGATTAAGAAACTAATTTAAAGAAACACATGCTTTCTCATGAGTGAGAAGTGTGATGAGTGAGCACAAAATTAAATAAAGAGAATTCAACTTTAATATTAGAAAAAATGGAACAGGTTACCCAGAAAGTTGTGTGGTCTCCATCTTTGGAGATATTCAAAACACAGAAAATCTTGAGGATCCTGGTCTAGTTGGCTGTGCTATGAGCAGGGGTTTGGGAGCTGATCAGTTCTATTGTGTGATTAAGGGTTTAGCACAAAAGCAAACATTTCCCTGCCATTTATTTCCCTGCACAGCCCTCCTGCCAGAAGGAACTGCTCTTCAGAGGGGTGTGATGTGTACTGGAGGCCAGGCCCCTGGAGGCCCTGCAGTGTGGGCTGTGGCAGTGGCTTCCAGTCCAGACGAGTGTCCTGCGTGCACAGGCAGAGCAGCAAACCCGTGGCTGAGCAGTTCTGCAGAGGGAGGAAGAAACCAGTGACCTGGCAACACTGCAGTGTCACGTCCTGTGGCAGTATGTAAATGTTTATTTAAATATGAGAATAGTAATAGTTTGTAGCAGTTATATTAGAAAATGACTCACAGTTGTACACTATTGATTCTACAAGCATTTGATTGTACATCAAAGGTAAAACTATCCTCTCCAAGGAGCACTTCGTAATCCTGGGGTTTCTTTTCTCTAAGTAGGCCAGTTTGATATTAAAGCCTCAAAAGCACTTTCAGAAACAGGATATTTAGGAAGTTTTTTGCAAACTTCCCTACACGACTGTGCCAGTTGTGACTCAAAATTCTCTGAGCGAGCTGTAAATGCATCCTGTATGGGGTTGTGTTCTGAAACAGACAACGAGTAAATGAATGCAATGAGATCACACCCCTTACTTGTGACTTTGTTTACCTTTGAATCCACGGCTGCCAGAAATGCACACTAAAATAATTACAAAGCTAGCAGGAACCCATGAGTTGTTTACAATTACAATGGCAAGTTACGCTATTTCTCTTTTGCTCATTATAAAGCCTTGTCATGTTTAAATATATTTTTCAGAAGGCGAATGCAAGGATACAACTCACTACTGTACTTTTGTAAAGCAACTAAAGTTATGCTTGATAGACACCTACAAACAAAGATGTTGTCAATCATGTCAAGAAATATAAGTCCTCTATGGCAAGTTCATGATGCTGCAGTGAAGAGATGAGAAGAGAGTTCATTAAACTGACCTGCTTGAAGTATATTCTTGTCAATGAGACATTAGTTGTAACAGTTAAATGGCAACATGGGGCTAATGAAAACAGTATTGTGGATTGATGTGCTGGATAAGGTATTGTTTCTTGGAGCTTTCATTTTTCATTCTTTGCAATGGAACTTCTAATGTTTTAAACATGTCTGGCTTAGCAAGATAATATCATGGCATATCATCTGTAAAATTTTTCAGGCTATCATTTATAATTTTATCTGTGAAAAAAAACATTATCTAAAAGCAGCAAATACTGGTTACTGTCCTTCACAAAATGAGGGGGTCACAAAAATACTTAAAAAATTTTTGGAAATGCAACAACTATTGACTCCCAGGAATTTGGTTTAGTTTTTTTTTCATCATATTTAACACTATTTTTAAATTTACAGAAGCTGTGGCTTGTAGCTGTAAAATTTTGGCAACAGCTTCATTTTCATAAACAGCTTGAGCTTAAGGGTTGATCTCACAGGATATACTTTACGGATACCAGCTCTCAGATGGATACACAGAAGTACATTGAATTTTTCCTGCTTGTATTTCTGTGTATGCAGTAAGAAAATATAGAATCTAGTACAATTTTCAATGCAGCAATAGATCTCTTTTGAATAAATGAGGTGTTATTTTTTTATTGTTTCTATTCTAATTCCAGTCTCTAAAGTACAATCAAAGTTCTGGCATGATTATTATAATTTTGTACTGATATTAAATGAGACAGAAGCTTCCTTGTCAGAGCTGTGAACAAATACTTGTGAGCACTGTTCTCTTGCGCATCAAGTTAAATGAGGCGCCAGTAACTGGCCAAAATAGCTGTCAGATTTCTTGTCTTGAATAATCATTCTATTTTTCTCCATTAATGGGAAAAAATGTCCAAGGAAGAATTATTAATTGTGAAGATAGACAAGTGTAAGAAATCTATTTTGAGCATTTTTCCATCAAGATGATTCTTCCATCATGGCTATTAACCATGCGAGTCGTTTGCAAGTTGATAAATTCTTATCGTAATATTGCTGGGTAAATTATCTTCCATATTGCAGATTGTCTGACTAGGGCTTTAAGCAGAGAGGACCCCACAGGAGGCAGATAAGAGATGTTTTTTTGCTTTTGTAGTTTCCAAACTGCTGCTCATATTGGAGGCCTGAATGCTCATGTTGACTTGGCTCTGGTGTTCCACCTCTGACCTGTGTGACGGGCAGAGGGCTGGGAGTGCTGTGGGGGCAGCTCAGACACAGCATCCTGCACAGAGGGTTTGCATCACTGAGAATTAGGGTACCACTACTGTATAGAAAATGTTTAGGGTGGACTATCGTGTCCAAGGCTGACTGCAAGGAGAGGATATTCCTGATCATTACCTTTTTCATCAGCAATGGGTCTTGATTGTTTAAGCAGTTTTTTAAATTAAACATTTGTAAGATACTTTTGTAGATATTTATTGTCTGATTTAAAAGTGCAATATTTTTTTTTTGTACAGTGTTTAATAAAGATTTTTGGACATATATTTTTTCTTATTACCAAAATTTCTTATTCATGTTTTCCCTTTATATTTAAAGTTTTCAAATGTTAACACATAGCATTTTTTGTTGCGTTAACTTTGGTTAAGTATGCATGCTATACCAAAGCAGTGCTGTAAATGTTTGTGATGGCGATTGGCATGACATTCCTCTGTAGATTATTTTATTGCTTCTCCAGTACCTGAAGATTTTAGCTTCTTGAACGTAGTTTTGATTTTTCTGAAATAAAGTATAGTTTGATTATTCACCACTGTGATTACCCTGGGATTGTTTATTACCATGATTTGCATGGTAACCATGCTTTCATTCTTTGTTATTATTTCAACCTACTTGGTCCATAATTCTGAGATGTTGATCAGACATATTGTTAATTTTCACTGCAATCTGCTTTGCACTGTTATTAAGAGACAACATAGATGTAACCTGACTGAAAAAGTGGGAACATAATTTGACAGCTCCATGTTTTGTATTTAGTGAGTGATGGGAATACCTCCATGAAAAAGAAATTGTTTCAGAATATCCACTACGTGTAAACAGTCTTTAGAAAGAATGGCCTAAGAAATCAAAAGAACAATAAAAGCCTTAATTTTTTTTTATTAAATAGAAAATAAATGTATAACAATTTAATGGCGGTGTTTCAGAGTTATCCTAGATAACAATATTGGCAAAGGTTTAATTTTCCTTTTGAATTCCATTTGTGCATTCTTTAAAAAAAGCAAGGCTTTGTATAGCAGTGCTGTGGAGCCTGCTGCTGGATGGCAGAGTGCACAGAAAACACTCTCAGAATAGAAAGTGAATCCATTAATAACTTTGCTGCTTTTACATCTTGGTTTAGCATGACATCATAAAATGCTTTTTTAACAGCTGTTATTTTGGAAAAATATTAGTTTTCCAGCCGTCTCTTCACTTGGTCTGCATTTCAGTAATTTGTTGCTTATGAAAAGGTTGACGTCAGGTATTGAATAGTGTCTGAAGGTTTATAATATCATTTGATGCTTTTCCTGGAAGCACAGTGTGTTGGGGCTTTTTCAATTGTGAAGTAATAAAGGCTTCTCTCTTTCACTATTAAACTTAGGGGAAAACATTACAGACAAAATGAAAGGAAATATGCCCCTCCACCCTAAAAAAGCCTTCAAACACATCTGCAGAGGAACTGTTAAATGTATCTGAATATGCCCTCCACTTCCCTTTCTCTCAAAATGTTTGTATGGGGCTGGTAGGTGGCAGCAAATGACTTTCCATAACTTAAGGGAGGGAAGTGACTTCAGAACTGAAAAAACATCTGTGAAAATTTTAAAAAGCATCTGGACTCCCTCGCAGACCCAGCAGAAAAGCCGTTCTGAGCAGAATATGCAGGCACATGGAACTTCATGGATTCAGACTGCATTTCTCCCTCCCTGGAAAGGAGAGTTGGAGGGCATTGGGAGCTTCTGAAAATGGCTCCAGAGGTACCAGGGCCTGGGTAGTTGTGACTGTGCAAAGTTTTGGCTTTGTTTCCTCAGTTGTGGCATGATAGAGAATGAGTCAATAGAGTGTATTTTTTCTTTTGTGGTACAGAAAGATGACAATTGGACACTTTCCTGTCCTGCTTTTAGGATCTCAGATTTACATCATCCTCGTTCATTCACAATCTGAGGGAGGTGAATGATTTTCAGACAGAAAAGTAAAACTGATTTGTCATGTCATTAAGCAGAGTAAGTGATACTACAAAATCATAGTACAAAGACAAAAGTTCTGTAAAAGTGACTGATGCTCTAATAATGTCTGGATGGATCTCGTGCAATGCTTTTGTGCACAGCTGATTTGCTCAGTTCAGCTTGTTTTCATGTGACCAATTTCCTGCTTTAAAAATGTTCCCATCATTGATCTTAGCCCTTTAATATGAGACTATGTTTATGAATTACAGCCACATGAATCTGCAGAACTAAATACTTCTACACTAACGGGTACAAGATATGCAATACTGAGAAAAAAAAATCATACTGGGGTAGTGTGGTAACCATGATAATACAGTTAATTACAGAACTATTAATTGGGACTTGCTTAAATCATGAATGCAATAAAACTAAAATTGATTCATCTGGATTTTTCAAAATCAGCTAGATACATAGAAAAAATATGAAATATTTCATACAGAAGCAATTTCATATAAAATTTCCGTTAAAAAAGTGGTGTCTGTGTATTTGGAACAAGCAATTATTTGAAAAGCAGAAAGACTGAAGCCAGGCTGCCCACAGATTTCTGCATCTCAGCTGGTGTTTCTTTTTTTACCTGAGTTTATTCTATTTTCTGTAAATCTATGTAGTCTCACCATGAGATTTGACTGAATTTGCACAATGCATTTAAAGATGGTTCAGCTGGGGAGGATGCGTGCACTAAGTCTGTCAGTGTGTCCAAGGTGCAAGTTTTGTTTCCTATGGAAGTAAGGCTGAAAGGGCATGATCAGGGAAATCAGGAAACAGTCTAATAACCTGCTTTTGGTGGTTGAGTGGTTTCAACTACATGAACAGAAAAAGAGTGAGGTTACCACGTGTTAATTGCTACCAGAAATTACAGTGGGACCTTTATACTCACTTCAGATGTGAATGAAGTTAAAGTAGTGATGACTAAAGCTAAAACCAGGTTTTTAGAAATGCCTGGGTGTCATGGCATGCTATCTTGTGATCTGAGCAGTAAAATATAAAATCTTACCAATTACTGACATTATTACTAATTTCTTAGATTACTGTAAATGGCATTATTTTCTTACTGTGTAAAATATTTTCTCAGCAAAGGACACTTGTTATTTCACAAATACAATCATCTGAAAATATCAAAGAATTAAATATGTTATAAAGATGCTTGAGATAGAGCATGATGAAATCTGGGGAGTCAAGGAAGCTAGAATGAACAATCAGAAAAAGCACAGATGCCATGTAGGGAGTAGTGCTCCTTCAGCATTTGGAAAACTTTATTAATCTTGTAATAAACTTTGGTTTGGCTTTGGTTTTCTTCAAACTTCTAAAAGCAAAATCTGCAGTATTTAATTTGTTTTTAGTGCTATTTAGAAAGAAAATGAACTGGTTGGTTTCCAATTATTTTTCTAAGGTGCTGGAAATATTGCATGTAATTATTATGACACAGCAGGTATTTCCTCTGGAACAGGACTACAGTTTGACCCAGAAGGTTCTGGGGACACCTGGCGGTAGAATCTGTGACCCTGAGAATCTGTGTTTACATAGACATAACCCATAGCATCTGGATTAATTCCTGGGCAGATCTCCTTCTTCTTTGGTGTATATTCAGTGCGATACAAAGTTTCATCTTTAAAAGGAACTACAGTAGGTACAGCTTGTACAGGTTTGAAACTTTGAGGTGGATTGGCCTGATGTGGTATGTAATGGGACCTGAATGTAGTTAAACTAGCAAATTTTCCTGTGGGCTTTTGAATTTCCTCTTCTTTCTTAATAAGCCTTTGTGGACACACTCTCCAGGGTTGATAGTCTTCTTTTGTAGTAGTCTTCCCTTGAAAAGGGCCAGTGCTTTTTCTTGCAGGAGCTGGTTTTATGGGGGCTCTGGGAGCAACTCTGTGTTTAATGTAATCAAGACGGTTTGAGGACTTGAGGTCCATCTTGTCTGTGGGTGGAACGTACTCTCTTGGCTTGTGGAACTCAGGCACGGTGACCAAATATGGCTGATAGCGATCCTGGAATTCAGTGGTTCCTTTAAAAGGATCATCAGATCCATGTTTTGTACTTTCAGGCTTGCAGCTTTTTGCTTGTTCCCCAGGCATCCCTTTAAAATCTCTCTGGTGGGTTGTGA